CAGCTCACCCTGTGGGCGGGGCCAGCATGGCACACCTGGGATTGAACACCAGCTGCTGTGCTCTGCCTAACCAGGCACTTCAGGCTGCTGAGCTATCAGGCTGGCCCTCGTGACTGGTTTTTACTTACTCACTTTTTTTTTAATATTGAGAAATAAATATGAATGAGACAGTTTCACAGCTGATTAATAGGACAGTTTTGATAGTCAATACACTGTACATTGTTACTTACTCACTTTGAGCAAAGTCCTATCCTCAACCAGAGCTCCAGCTACCAGCTTTGTGGTGCTGAAATACTTAAATCAACTCATAGTTAAATAGAGATAAAAACTAAAGTTGAGAATAATGACTATTAAAGGTCTAAAAATAAATTATCAACAAAGAGAAATTTAAAAAGGAAACAACAACAAAAAAAAGGGGAACAAAAATTTGGGACCTACAGATTCAATAATAAGAAGCAGCAGCAAACTTAGCTGGTTATGGTAGTATACACTTACAATCTCAGCATTTGGAGGTCCAAGGCAGTGATAGTGACACCCTACCATAAAAAAGAAAAAAAGCAGGCAAAACTTTAAAGATTGATCAATTGAATGCATCCAGTTTGAGAAGCATAAAGAAAAAAGAATGAAGAAAAATAAATAAGAGCCTAGAGATCCCATCCATCAAGCTGAAAAACATATATACAGAGCTCCACAACAGGAAGAGCTAAAGGAACAGGAATATTGAGAATGGCAACAAATTTCTCAAATTTGACAACCTGAATCTAACATGGAAAAAGCTCAATAAACCCCAAGAAATATAAATGCATAAGCTTACCCACATGACAAATTATATTCAAACCATTGAAAGACAAAGACTATAAGAAAACTTTGAAAGCATCAAGAAAGAAGTTACTCATCATAATCAAAGTAACCCCAACAAGAATATAAAGGAATTCTCAGCAGAAAGTATGGAAGCCAGGCAACAGTAGGATGACACAAAGTGTGGAAGGAAAACACAAACCCGGACAACTAAGAATTCTATAATCAGCAAAAACTGTACTTCAACAAATGAAGAAGTTGAAGCATTTGCATATAAAGAAAAGTAGGATTTCACAGTAGTACAGCAGTTCTACAAGAAACGACAGAATCTTTCAGAATAGACTAAGACCTAGATAATAACTTGAAGCCATAGAAATAAAATTCCAGTAAAGATAACTACTTAAATAATAAAATCAATATTAATGCATTTTTAATAATTTATTCCCTACATGACTTAAGAAAGCAAATGCAAAGGCCAGCCAAATAGCTCAGCGGACTAAAGCGCCTGCTTACGCAGAGCATAGTGGCTGGGGTTCGATCCCTGGCATGCCGCTCTGGCCCTGGCCCCCGCCCCTACCCCCAGGGTGTGCCGAGACTGTGATTGAGACTGGGCGTGGTGGCATGCACCTGTAACCCCAGCTCTTGGGAGGCTGAACACAAGTGGATCACTGAGTCCAATCTATGTAGTGAGACCCTGTAGACCCAGTGCCAAATACATAAAAAAAGGCAAATGCATAAAACAATAAGTATAAAGAAAAGTAGGATTTCACAGTAGTGCAGCAATTCTACAAGAAATGATAGAATCAGAATAGACTAAGATCTAGATAATAACTTGAAACCATAGAAATAAAATCTCTGGTAAAGGTAACTATTTAAATAATGAAATCAATTATTACTGCATTTTTAATAATTTATTTCCTACCTGACTTAAGAAAGCAAATGCATAAAACAATAATTATGTTAATAGGCACACAGGTACAAAGACATAATGTGTTACAAAAACATAAAAACAGGGTAAAACTACATAGGTGTAGACTTTGTATACTAGTGAAGCTAGAGTCAGTTATCAGTTACAGTTGATTTTTCAGCTATATTGTTAGAAATTTCCTGTTGTAATCCTCAAGGTAACCCCTACAAAAACATCTACAAATTGCACACAAAAGGAAATCAAAGGGGATTCAAAATGATATACTACCCCTTAAAGGGTCAGTTCATCACAAAAACATTATAACTGCAAATGCATACTAACAATAGGGCTCCTAAAACATGAAACAAATACTGATAGAACTAAAAAATGTTGTAACAAGTTCTGTGTAATACCCGGAAACTTCAATATTCAATTTTCAATTAGAGATAGGACATCTCAACAGAATATGAACAAGGAAATAGAAGACTTATGTAGTATAAACCACCTAAAGGTAAGAGACAAAATAACTTCCCAACAAAAGCTGAATATACTTAAGTATGCACAAAATATCACTTCAAATAAAATCTGTCAAAGAAAAGTACAATATTAGATGGCTTCTTTAGTGAATTCTACTAAATATTTAAAGAGGAATTAATAAAATCTTTATCAAACTATTTCAAAAAGAAGTGGCATAGTTCCTAAGTCATTGTATGAGGCCAGTACTGCCCTGATAACAAAGACACCACAATAAAACTACAAGTATTCCTGATATAGATGTAAAAATCCTCAACAAAATATTAGCACATCAAACCCAATTGCATAGTGTAAGAATTGTACAACATATCCATGAAATGCTGGAATTGATTCAACATAAGAACATCAATTAGCATACTATACCACACTAATAAAAAGGGGAAATATCACATGACCATCAACTGAGAATCTGAAAATAACATCTATGATAAAAATATTCAGAAATTAGGGATAAGAGAATTTTTAGAATAGAACAGAATAAGAGAATTTTAAAATTCTCTAATTCTTAATTTTCTCAAAATAACAAAATGGAAAAACTCATACCTAACATCATATTCATTTTCTTTTCTTTCTTTTTTTTTGGAATCCCAAAGCTCCATTTTATTAGCGAGCATACAAAACCCTTCATAGGGAAAGTCCTGTTCCCCTCTCCAGGGAGACAGATGTGTCCCTTCCACAGATCCCACGTTTTTCTTCTACCATGACGATTAAAGTGTTTGTAGAGATAGCTGATACATTTTTTAAGGTTGTGCAAGTCATCAATGAATATTCTATTTCCAACAATTCTCTTTATTTATATACATTGCTGCAATTTATTTCCCTTCCAGCCTCAAAGCCATATGGGGCCCAGGATCAGGTCTTTGGGGTGTTTTTCAAAGTTTCCTAGGATCCTGAACATTGCCCTCTTTTCATTCCAATGATCAATCACTTTGGGAGGTGGTAGGATGAGCCTTATATGAGACAATCCTGGAACACCTAGGTAGACATTTCTGCAAGCCATGGTCTCCGAGCCCCACAGGCACCTTCTAGTCCTCCAAGAGAGGGCCCCTGCCATCGCTATAGTCTGAATATAGATTGGACGTGGCTTTCAAGATGACGCCAAGAGCCATCCCTACCACCTTTACACTAACTTTAGCAAGCAAGCAGCCTATCTTGGATCTTACCCAGGTAGATTCACTTTCTTTTCTTTTTTTAATTTTTATTTAGGACAGGGTGTTCAGGGTGCACAGGGTCTCATTGCATAGATAGGACTCGTGATCCTCCTGCTTACAGTCTCCGAAGTGCTGGGATTACAGGCACACACCACATGCCCAGGTTCCATCTCAGTGTGCCCCTAGGGGTGGGGCCAGTGTGGCAGGCCAGGGGATAGAATTCCTGGCCTCTGTGTCTGACTAAGTAGAAGCTTTAATCTGCTGAGCTATTTGGCCGGCCCTTAGATTCATTTTCCAAGACTGAAAACTCTTAACCCTTATGACCACCTTAAGACCAATAAGAAAATAAGAGGAAAACAATTGTTACTTAACTTTGTACTAAAAGTTCTATCCAGAACAATTATATAAGAAAAAAAAGTCTCCAAGCTAGAAAGGAAAAAATAAAGTATTTCTACTTACAGATGATATAATCCTACATATAAATACCAGACAGAACGCAATGTATACATATGCCTACACTAATAAAAATAATGTATCAATGCTGTATTAGTATGGGATCAACATAAAAATCAGTTTTATAAACGATCTGAAAACTCCATTTGTAACATCCCACAAAAATAAAACAGCTGCTACACACTTTTTCTTATAATTTATTTAGATAATGCTACGAAGTAAAATCCAGTGGGGGAAAATTATGTAAACAGCAAGAAGTCTGGATGAGAAGGACAGAGTTGGAGAAGTTTATTAGAGAAATTAAGAGTTTGTAGGACACAAATGATGATCTGCTAGATTTTCCACATGTTAATCTGGAAGGTTCAAAGCTTCAAGCAAGTGACTAAATGCAAGACTAAAAGTGAGGCTCCCCTCTGAACACAAACAGATAATTTATGTGACCTGAGTTCTCAAAGGCAGATACAAATTCTTACTTAAAGCTCTTTAATATAGGTAATGGAGGCTAGCGGATAGGTCAGTGGTCTAAGAGCCTGCCCGGCAAGCACAAAGACCCAGGTTCAATCCCCAGAACCTTGTACCCTCTATGCCAGCTCTGATGTAGGGAGACCCTGTACCAAATCAATCAATTAATTAAAACAAAAATAGGTAATAGAATTTCTGCATGTTACCTATTTCTCTGAAAGTGAATGACAGGTCTATTTTGGCTTTAATTTAGGATGCTATAGAAAATGGGAATACACTTGTGTAGTGAAAATTGTCACAGCACAAACTGCAGTTGATACAACAACTGCAGAGATGTAGCAAAAACCAAAACAATGTAATAAAGTAATTGGGACAGTTCCCAACGTACTTTAATATTCTTGCCACTAGAGGGCGACCTTAACATTTGCTTTCTGGTCCCTTAGCCATTTAATTCTGGAAAGGCCAGTATGACCAAAAATAACTGGGTTTACTCTGCAATAATGTCTCAGCTCAATGCTGCCAATAAATAATTATCAAATCACTCTGTGATTTTCTGGGCACAGAAACATGTTAGTACCATAACTGTTGGAAGAATTATTCCCTCCTTAGGCTGGACAATAAAAGACTTGGTAGGGCTGAAATACAAAAAAAAATTTCTTGTACTTTTTGGTTAGCTTTTATAATGAAAAACTTACGTTTTAAGTGTTCCAGATGTCATAAGTTCAGTCACCAAAACAATGCATTTCTTTCCTTTCACTGTGGATTCCCAGGAATCATAAAATCGAACAATATTGGGATGCTGAAGACCCTTTAACATTTCAGCCTCTTCTTTAAATCTCTGCCTTTCAGACTTTGTTAATTTTCTATCCTAAAATAAAAAACACAAACAGAATGTGGATTAAAATGATAAAAAGTCATACAGTTGAATTAAAATGTTAAATTATAAGCAATACCATTAAAATAGGAACACTGAGTTACTTAATAATACTCACCAGACTATTTTAACATGAGAGCAGGCTAATGTATGCTTAAGAAAATTTTGGATTATAAAGCTATGCTTGAGATTATTTTTAGCTCCCTACTGCTAACTTATCTTAGATGTAGTCTTATTTTATAACATGAGTTAATTCACCACTTCCAAAATTGATGATTTATAGTCAGAGATAGGCAATTTAATGTCAAGAAATAGATACTAAATTGGAAACTGAAAGATCCAAATAAAATTAAGAGTTCTAAATTTGCTTCAATTAAATTTTCTTTTTAAATTTTTTAACAGGGTTGGGGAGATGGCTCAGTAGAATAAGTGCTTCCCTGGCAAGTGCAAGGGCCTGAGTTCAATCCCCAATTCCGAAAAAAAAAAAAAAAAAAATCACTTCCTTGGACTCTTGCATTAACTATCTAGTAAGTATATTTTATTAATCACATATTTAAAGTACCTGATCCTTCATCAGCCTCTTATCTGAGATGAAGTATGGGGTGTATGAAATCTGTCATTTACCCTTTGACAACACCTCACATACACAAAATTTTCACTGTTTTGTGAATTAAATTTGAATCTTTTAAGCATGAAATACTTCAGGTATAGGCATCTTATACTGTTAAATAAACATTACAGATCTAAATTAACACCCCCATATGTAACTAGTTTCTCTTCTTCATTCCTATGTCTTATTACCCTGGATTTACCCATATAATGGATTTTTATACTTTTATGAAATATCTGAATATATCACAATTCATACTAACCTTTTTTTTTGGGGGGGGGTTGTCTTTTTAAGTCAGGGTTTCACTGTGTACTTCGGGCTGGGTTGAATTCACTTTGTAGCCCAGGCTGGCTCCTGAGTGCTAGGATTACAGGTGTGTGCCACCATGCCCAGCCTTTAAGGACTCTAGGCTCTTCCTCGTTTGTTGCTACTACAATACCTCAATAATGTATAACTTTTTTTTTTTTTTTTCCTTTTCCAGGAGTTGAATCCAAGGTCTTCAAACTGAGCTACATCCCCAGCCCTTTTTCTTAGTCTTAAAATTTTGAGACAAGGTCTAACTAAATTACTAAATTGCCTGGGTTGAGCTGGAACCTAGCAATCCTCTTGGCTCCACTTTGCAGAGTACTGGGATTACAGGTTGGTGCCACCACTCTCAGCTTCAATGTTAATCTTCTTGATCTGGATTTTTACTATGTAGGTCCAGAAATACTGTTAAGGTAGATTTACAAACTTATGTGAAAACAAATTCTTATCTTTGGTTAATCTTGAACTGAAATTTAATGTTTTCTTGAATTACATATAAAACCTAAATAACATTAGCCATGCTTTTGTCACTGATATACCTAAATATATTCCTGTCATATGGCAAATGATTATCTCAAAATGTCATTAAAAATAAAAAAACTCACAATTCCTATCACCCTAGCCCATTTCATATTATATCACCTAATATTTTTATTCTACCTTTTTATTCAACCAGTTACTTTTATCATTATTATTTAACAGAATATCCTCAGTACCAAAAAAAAAAGCCATCCTATTTAACAGAATATGCTCACTTATATTTTCCCACATAATTTTGGTTCTCCATGCCACATTTCTTTTTATTCCTTTTTTCTAGGCTGAGCTTTCTTTCAAATGAAATATATTTATCAAAATTTTATCAGTGAATGTCTATTAGTCGAAGAACCCCAGGTTGTATGAAAGGTTTATTTAATCTTTACTCTTGAATTGCAGGTTAGGAGATTTTAGAATTCTAGGCTGGTTTATTTTTCTTTCAGCATTTCCAAGACATTTTTTAATGCTATTCTGACTTCTACAGCAGCTATCAGTATAATGTCCTTCTTTATAGGTACAACAGCCATTTTCTTTGCTTGAATTGAAGATCTTTTTTTCTACTATGCTCTGTATCTTCACTACCATGCATCCAGTTTGATTCATACATAATGGGGGTGAACTGTGCTTTTAAAGCCCAAAATTCCAAGTATGTGTCTTATGCATTATTAGTTGAGGCCAAGGGTGGCTTCAAACTAGTAACTATCCTACCCCAGCCTCCACAACAGCTGGAACTAACCAGTATGTGCCAAACCTCAAGATATTCACTGTCTTACCTGAAAGACTTGTAAATGTGTGCTCTAGCCTTATTATCACTGAGCTTCTCTCTCGTTTTCCATTTCTGCCTCTTTCTACACAATGTTCTTAGACCTACCTTCTTGTTTAATAATTCTCTGCTCAGTTACTATGCCCAATCAGCTTATTGGCTTTATTTACTATTATTAGTTGCATCACAAGGTTTAAAAAAAAGAGATAGAAGACATGTGGAAGGACCTCAACTCCTGCTCTAGAAATGAGGAAGTCATGAACATAAACTAGGTATTTTCAACTGACCATACGAGTCTGTGAGGGCTAAGACATAGATGAGGGGATATATGAAGTTTTTTAAAAAATTAAAAGTTGTGAGTATTAATTTTTAAAAGTTTATTATAGTAATAGTATAGACAGTTAATTTAGATAGAAATATTACAGGTAGTGAGATAGGGCTAGGTCTTTGTGGGAGTCAGTGAAGAAGGTGAGAACACATTGCAACTGTGGCTAGAGGCACATCTGTTGAAGGACAGGCTACAGGACAAAGACTAAGTGACCAGGCTTACATGCCTCCCCTGGGAATAAGCAATAAATTGAAGATTAAACTATAATTGGCATCACCTAGTCCAATAAAGTCTAGACGGACATCAGTAACCCAAGTGTGTGACCAAGATACCCCCTGATCCATTCCTTTCTAAAAAGGTCTTTATTCTCTCCATGTACACTAAGTGTCTTGACTCTCCCCTGAATCAATATTAGTTAAGCAGTTATAAGTGTAATGTTATTGGCTGAATCACAGTTTTCACTCACATTGTACCACCTCCTCTCTCTTTCAAATTTTTCCTACTTTTAACATCCACTGTTCCTAATTCATTCGTTGATTTTGGGGAACATGAACTCAGCACATCTGACATGTGACAAACTGGGATTCATGCATTATTTCTCCTATATCAGTAAGCATACAATGCCACTGATTTCCCTTGAATGACTCCCCTAACACAATACACTTGTCCCATTATTTGTGCCACTTTCTGAAGCAGTCTGGAAGTCTTCTTTTGTGTTTTTAGTTACACTGTCATTGCTGCTTCAATGTCCTGAATCAATTCAAAACGTTGACCTTTCGTGTTCATTTGGTATTGGGGAAGAGCCAGAAGTAACTTAGTGCCAGATGTGGTGAATGAAATGGATTAGGACACACCGTAATGTTCTTAGGAGCCTTATAAGTTCTTATAATGGTTCATCCAACCCTTTTGTTGGATGGCACATGGCACTGGCATTCATTGTACTATTTTTTTAATCTCTCTCTCTCTCTTTCTCTCTCTCTCTCTCTCTCTCTCTCTC